TTAATGCTGCTCTGATATTTATTAATCTTGCATTTGCCACTGATGATGTGTTGTGCTAGACTGGCTGTTTTCTTTGTAGTGCATTTACTCCAGGTTCCTTTCTCTAATATTAACAGCTCTCCATCCATGCTGTACCCTCTGTCCACTCTGCCTTCACCTTCTCCAATTCGTATGACATTGGATTTGTGTTTATCGAACTCTAGTAGCCACGTGCTGGACCACATGTGCAATTTGCACAGGCCTCACAAGACAAGTCTCTCTGTCCTCTCTTGTTATTTCTCTTTAGTTTTATTTCAACAAACGGTGACATGTAAGACCTTATCACTTCTAGTAGGTCGTTGACATATATAATGAATAGTAGCGGTCTTAGTACTGAGCCTTGCGAGATCCCCCTTTTCTTCTCGTTACTCTCCCATTTTGATGTTTCATTCTTTGTTCTACTCATCGTTTAGCTCTGTTCATTCTAATTTCACTACTATTCCCTGGTGTAGTACTGTATCAAATACTTTCTTGTAAATTTGTAAAACAGGAATTTCTGTCCCTAAAATCCGTGTTGCTTTTCTCTATGAACATTCTCTACAAATTCTCCAATGCCATATATGCTATATCATTTTGAAACTGCCTTCCAGTCTTTCATTTTACAACTGCTTACTCATTTTAAGTGTTGGTTATTTCTCTAGCAGTGTTTTGATATACTCTACATGTCTTCCAAGCCTTCTTGCACATCTCCGTAGCTTCTCTGTATTTCTGACTGTACCATGGGTTCTCTGCTTTCTTTTCTTCATGCTTGCTAAGAATATTTCCTTTGCCCCTTCACACTTTAACTATTTCGTCTTTGCTTGTGCAGATTTGCCATCGAGTTCTCTTTCCCACTGCGCTTCTCAGAAAATTCCCTATGCTATCATAGTTTCCCCTTTTGTAATTCCATTTCTCCTTACTCGTTTCCTTAATTTTTCTACATTCTTATTTTTTACCAAATTCTCAGTTATTATTATAATCAAGGAGAAGTGGTAAACCCGTAGAATTATACAGAGCTTGTCGGGGGGATGTTGAAGGTATTCAGGCTTAATTCAGGGAACTGGAGCACAGATCCAATTCCCTGGAGCAAGAGCCCCTCACCAGCGTCAAGGAACCTTCCTTGAGGGGACTAAATTCTCAAGACAGTACCAAATGCTCGCTGACGCCCAGTGATTCACTACAGTTTTATTAGATTTATTTTGTGCGAGTACTAGACCTAGTTTCACTGACTTATCTCCTCTTTTTAATCCATAAGTTTTGTTCTCAATGTTTTTGGTCCTCTATGTGGGTCTCAGGTCTTCCAATCTTTTATGGTGGAAATCTAATCATACCAGAAGTTTTAGCCTCCTCCTCTCTCGGCCTTCTATTGTTTAGTAGAGGAGAATATGTAATTGTCATTATTACTTTTGTCTCTTCTGTTTCCAAGTTTCCTACAATTCTGGTGGTTTCTGGTCATCGGTGATTACCTTTATCCCAATATTTTCTTACTAATTGTTACCCCTCTGAGAATATTGTACTTGTTATTATTGAGAGTTTTGTCTCCATCATAGCTACTATATCAAGGTTTTCCCTCTCCTACCGTTTCATAGCTTCACACACTACTGCTTCTCTCCCTTACTGTTGTCTTTGTATACCGTTTCTTATTTTGCTTCTGGAACTACTGAACAGGGATTTTTTATGGAGCTTTTGGGAATTTCCTTTTCTAAGACTTGTGGTCTGTTCCCTGTTCTTTTCTTCTGCTGCTTCCTTTTTTTTCCCTCATGTCTCTCTTTTTTTTTTTTCCTTTCGTTCTTCATCTGATCTTTGATATAGACAGAGTCAAAGTAGTGAGGCTGCCCTAGGATATCGCTTCTCAAAACCACGATTCCTGTTTCTGATCCTGCCTCATAACTTATCATCCACTTTCATGATTTGTGCCTGATCTCTCTGCAGTGACAATCTTACTTTTGAAACTGTGTAGATTCCTCCATCAGTCTTCTGGTTATCTATCTCTTCTACAGTTCTCCATCTTTCTCTTTAGCTCTCTACTATTTCGTCTTTATTTCTCTTCCATTTGTCCAATAATCATCCCTTTTATTTCTTCTCATTCATCTATTTTTTTTTATCCCTCAATCCCTACTCTGTGACTCACGAAATCGTAATGACAAGATTGCAAACAAATCGGTCCAGTGGCTAACGCGACGGTCTGGAGTTTTGAGACTCCCTACTCTGTCCTTACATCTTTCTTCCATTTTTCGATTAGCTTCGCTTCCTAAACTCATTCCTCCTATCTGCCAACTGTGGCTCGTCTATGTTTCTGGTGTTAGTCTATGCTACTGTGCCTCACATTCTAGTCTGTACCAATTGCTTCTGTCTGATTCCCTGAGTATCTTGCCCTCTAAGCATTGCAAACTTCTCTTATCTAAGGTTACCCTAAGTAGTTAAATTATTTTTTTTAGCCTCTCCTTAATGCTAACTTTCCTCGGCTTTTATTGCAAATGTTTGCCTGAAAGCATGTATTTATTCACCTCATACATGTTGCAGATGTTTGAGGTGTATGAGCATCTCTGGCGATTATGTTTATGTTAACTCCCATGTAGCTTTCAAGTTTTTCCTCCCAGACTGTATTCTGTCTCCGGACTTTTTCCAATTTACCTAACCATTCAGGTTTTTGGATTGATCTCGGGCAGCCAATTGCTTTACCAGCGCTGCAGATTGTTGAGATGGATGTAAACACGCAAGATGTGTGGGAAGTGTGTGGGAATACTGGGGGAGGGGAAATGTTGTGGTGCGTGGTGGTTGTGGGTAAGTGGGAGGGCTGGTAGGGGTGGTTATTTGCGGTAGATGTGGATGTGGGGGAGGCGGTAAGAGTGGTGGTGGGTGGAGGGTGTGTGGATGGAGGCGGGGTGGAGATGGAGGAGGGGTAAGGGGTCGGGAAGGGGGTAGAGGGGAAGGGGTTAACCAGCAAGACGTAATTAAAAAGCGCTGAGCTTCTGCGGAACTGTTTTTATTCATTTCTATGTCTAGTTAAGTGTTTTTTTTTTTATGGGGTTGTAGCAACTACTGTTGTTGTTGCTGCTGCTGTCATCGTTGTTCCTGTTTTCTTCCTGCTGTTATTCTGTTACTGAAACTTTTCTTGTTACTGCTGCAGCTGCTGTTGTTACTGCTGCTGCTGAAGATATTGTTACTGCTGTTCACATTGTTTTTGCTTTTGCTGCTGATGATAATATTATTGTATATTTTTTAGTGGGGCTTCTACTCTTGGTTGTCTTACTGATGCTACAGATGCTGAATAATTATAATTATTATTATTAATTGTAACTATTATCTGTGCAACTTCACTAAAACCGCTGCAACTCATACCATTGCTAGGGATGCCAATATTATATACATGTCGTGCCGAATAGGTAAAATTGGTCAATTAGCAAGAGCTCGTTTAAAATTAATTCCTTTCTAAAATTTTCTCTTGTACGTTTAACATAAAGGAAAAAAAATGATCTTTAATGTATAAATTAATAATTTTGTACCAAAAGAACCTTATATAACTTACCTAACCTTATTATAACAAGCACAGTTTAATTTAGCCTAATCCAACTAAATATACTTAAGTTTACAATAATTTAATAATAAAAAAAACACAATGAAATATATTTTTTTCGTTAGGTTCAGAATAACTTTTGCGAAATTATTGCATACACAAATTTTCGCTTGTCTTATTCGGCAAGAAGAAAGTTGCTATTTAAGCCAGAATCGCAAGTTTTACCTATTCGGCACGACATACGTAAACTTCAGGAAGATTTTGCTGGTGGTAAACTAAGACTAATAAAAAATGGAAACACCAAAGCCGTGGTAAACCTCTGCATTTAATATCCAAACGTTTCGCAGTATCAAACGCCATCGTCAGTGCTAAAACACTTAACAATTACCAAGCAAATATCGACCAGCTGTAGATACGCATTTGATATAGTTATATATGAAACATAGCAGCCATTATTCTGCTTGGTGATTGTTCTTAATTGTTAAGTACTGATGATGGAGTTTGATACTCCGGAACGTTTGGATTATATATATATATATATATATATATATATATATATATATATATATATATAAAACAAAGTAAAAGGACTGGCTCTTTTAACTTACTGCAACCCTCTCACAACTCAGTAATTACTAATGCAATTATGACTTGTTAAAAAAAATAGAAAAACCTTCATTCTTATATATTTTTGTTTTCATTTACTGTATTTGTTTTCATTCGGCATTTCTGTTTTCCCAGAATTCCGTGACTAAAATACACGCACACCACACATACACACAATTTCTTATAATATATATATATATATATATATATATAATATATATATATATATATATATATATATATATATATATATATATATATATATATATATATTAAACATTTATTCACCATTTTTAATATATGTTCATTATCTGTTTTTGCACCAAGAAAAAATATTAACATTCACTCTATTGTTTTGTGTACATGGGGCCATCATTCCCCTTCCTCTTCCTTTTCCTCTTCGTCATCGTTCTTCTTATTTCTCTTGTTCTCCTAGTCCTCATTGTTCTTCATATTTCACCTTCCCCTCCCCTTTGCCTTCAACTCCTTCCAGTATCAAAGCGCGTGCATGTCTATCAATCTTCAATTTCGTGATAAATTGCAAGTGAAATGGATGTTTACTTTGTATCCAATTTCATGGTACATAAGCCTTTGAAATTAATACCTATTTTAATCGTCGATTTCTTGGTACACGACTGATTTCAAAATTGGTGCAAATATTCTATCCCATTTCAAATTAGTTTTAAACGAGTGTAAAAATTTGTGTCAGCCAATTCTGTTGTAAATGGAGAGTTTTTTTATGTATGTTTAATTTTCTGCTTGTTGATTTCGTGGTGAATGAAGTGTTTAGTACGGTGTTATTTTTGCATTGCATTTTGTGTTGAAAGATCTATTAAATGGGTGCCCATTTTCTCTTCAGTTTCGTGGGGAAGGTACGGTGAAATGGGTACGTATTGCGTCTCCAATTTCCTGATTGTTGACCCCCAACATTTTTTGGGTCACTTTTTATCTATTTCTTAATGTGACTATGACTTGGATACTGTTGTAAATATAACAAGGCTTAATATTGTAATTAAATATAATTAGCATAAGCTAAAATAGGATTTCTTTTAAACAAGGGGAAACATAATTCCTAGATTATAGCAAAATCAATAAGACAAACATTTATTTATGTATATATATATATATATATATATATATATATATATATATATATATATATATATATATATACTATATAATATCACACACACACACACACACACACAACACACACACACACACACCACACACACACACACACACACACACACACAGAGTTGCTTGTTCAAATTAAGACCACAAAGACTGTCGTGGGTGAAATTACAAAAATAATCAGATAAGAAAGCATGACTTCCCTTTTGATCTAATTTCTTGACGTCAAGATTATAGGAGTTTCGAAACTCTCTCTCTCGCATATTATAGGAGTATACTCCATTATATTCATGAAAAGGCTACTTCACATTTTATTTCCTGAAATATGTGCCAAATACGTATGTGTCATTTTGATGGAGATAAATTATCGCTGAAGTTATTTCCAGGAGAAAGATTCAGCCTGTCAGGAAGAAAAATGTTTCTTGATGGATGCCCGCCTTGTGGTGTAAAGGCCATGCAAACAAAATGTAATCGAATCTGTGACTTGTATAGTTTTGCAAATTTCATGACAAGTACGAGATTCGTTAATAAAGTCACTAGCCTTCTCGCTGCCTTGGATCCAAATATCGTACTGAAGAAGTGAAAAAAAGGACACAATTTTCGCTCTAGTTTCCAAGCGAAAAGTGTCTTCGGCAACATGTCCCTTTCTCCGCTGCCTTGCTTGTGAATCTCAGCACGTGGGTGTTCACAGTCATCACAGAGTCATATTTCACAGCCAGGATGCCCACTTGATGATTCAGTGCTACGTCTCTGCCATTCATCCTCGCACCAGCCCCAGCAGTTACATCATGCTGTCTTTGTGATCAGTATCTGTGTTTGTTCAGCAGGAAATGTAACCTGCCACCGCCAGGCAGATAGAGCCGCACGGGTAAATTCTGAAGAGTTCAAGCATCTGAATAAGCAGGAGGTTCAGGGAGTCAAGTTTTAGCGTCGAAGAAAAAAAAATGACCTTTTGTAACAGAGGGTCAAGTTCAGTGCCTAGTGGTACGCCGATACCAGTGAATATATTTTTTTCGGTTCATAAGTATCTACTCTGAGTACATAGTCACCCTACACCTGCTGTCATTGTTCACCTAGCAGTAAGTAGGTACCTGGGTGTTAGCCGACTGCACCGGACTTAGGACTGACTCTTTTGGAACCCAATACGACTCATGCACCCTCTCTGACACCACGTCTCGTACCAACACACGTTATTTCCTTCCTGTCAGGTATTCTCTGTTCTGTACAGTTAGTTACCAGCTGTCAGAGATACTCGTCGATAGACACTCCTCTGTGTGTGTATTTAGTGTGTATGTGCTCATCTAGTTGTACTCACCTAGTTGTGGTTGCAGGGGTCGATTCAGAGCTCCTGGCCCCATATATATATATGTGTGTGTGTGTGTTGGAAATTTCACTTGCTGACATTCAAGCATAGTTTATTTTAACCTCTTCAGCTAAAGAGGACCTCGGACGGAGAACAAAATATACAGACCAGCCTAATTTGTGTTTTTTCTATGTGGCTTATTTTTTAAATAAAGGGAAGAAAGATTTAAAGAAAGATGGACGAAAATGAAGAGCAGGCGCTGGGGAAACAAGGGAGACTTGAGAAGCGGAGGATTAGGTAGAGGATTACATGGAGCAGGAGCAGTAGAAGAGATGGAATGAGAAAAAGGACGAAGAGAAACAAGAGCATAAATTGGTAAAACAAATGGTAGACCATAGAAAAAAATAAGAAAGTTCAGCAGAGAGGAGGAAATATATGAAGAGATAACACAAGAGACAATAATGCAGAGATGGAGATAATGGGAATATATATGTACTATGGAATGAAACAAAGTTAAATGAGAAGAACATAATGGATGAACATAAATAAGGAACAAAGGCAATAAATAAATAACTAACGGTAGTGGCATATTTTAAGAGGATCGAACGGAACTGTTAAACAAAAGACAAAAAATGAAATGGGAAAGATAACGAATCGTGAGAGAAATGTTGTGATGAGAGTGAAAAAGTAGGGAAAAGTGAGGGAGGTAAAAAAAAAAAAAAGAGAGTAGAAGGGAAAAGAGTGATCTGGGACCAGGTGGTGCCTGGGTGGCGAAGGAGGTAAGAGAAGGGAGGGGAGAATGGATGACATGAGGAGAAGAGAGAAGGATGGGGAAGGGGTCAATAGAGTGGGGTAGAGGGCGAGGGGTAAAGTAAGAGGAGGGGTGATGGTTATTTGTGGAGAAGGTAAGACAGAAATGGGAAAATGGAGGGAAGTTAAGGAAGGGGATGTTGGTGCAAAGTGTAAACAACTGAGGAGTGATGGGGGAAGGGGGGAAATAGTGGAGAATAACAGGAGGGTGAAGCATACGGGGAGAAGAGGGAAGGAAAGTATGTCTACTTGTAAATGGGAGAGAGGATAGAGGGAAGAACGAAGGAGGAGTAGGCAACGCAGATTAGAATAGAAAGATAATTGTATCTGTTGGGTGAAATTACCGTTTAGGGAGCAGAGCAGAGCAGAGAGAGAGAGAGAGAGAGAGAGAGAGAGAGAGAGAGAGAGAGAGAGACAGACAGACAGACAGACACAGACACACATACAATAGACCACATAAATAAGGTCAAGAAGAAATTGGAGAGAAAAGTTAAAAATACCTAAGAAAATATCAAGAATTATTTTAAAAGAAAAGAAACAAAAACACATATAAAGCAAGAGACCGCAAAAGAGAAGTGTCAGTATTAAGTTTGTGTACATTAAAAACCTCTATATAAAATTTGTTTAAATTTCTGTCTACATTTCATTATGTTGCAAAATGTAAAGGATATCCTGGAAACGAGGAGAGAAAGGGAAGTATGTGAGAATGACGATAAAGAAGTAGAGAAAGAGACAGGAAGAGGGAACGTATGATGACAGTAAGACGACACCACACTGACCTTGATATCTCTATTTATAGCGGATTTCAAGGTCAGTGTGTGTGTGTGTGTGTGTGTGTGTGTGTGTGTGTGTGTGTGTGTGTGTCTGTCTTTGCTACTAAGTAACAAGTAAGGATACACAAACATGCTTTGTAAAGATACTATCAAGACACAAACACGCTGACGCTACTGTAAACACATTTAGGGGTAGGAACATAGACCGTCAGACAAGACAGTGAGAGTTGCACCCACGGTGACGTCTGCTAACTTACTCTGCAACACCTCCCTGTCGTCAGTAATAATAATAATAATAATAATAAAATAATAATAATAATAATAATAAAATAAAATAATAGGTTACTTATTATTTTTGTCCCAGTTAATATTTTTATTGCTGTAGTTGTTAATGTTGTCGCCTTAATTTTAGAGTTCATGTTTATATATTAGTATAATTAGTATAATAATTATTATTATTATTATATTACCCTGAGTACATGCAGTACTCATTACGCTTTCTTCTGTTTATTGGAATATAATTTGTATTTTCTTCACTTGGTGTTTCAAAGAAATTATTTTGTTTTCAAAGATATCCATTATGTAGCTGTCCCATTCAGCGGAAGGTTTTTGAGGCTGTGAAGGGCTCTTGATCCAAGGAATTGCAGATACTCTTCGCTTCCTTGGATCAAATCTGGAATCTGATTGCCTCCTACCTGAGATCGTACAATATGTTTACATTAAAATAAATAAATAAATAAATATATATATGTCGTGCCGAATAGGTAGAACTTGCGATCTTGGCTTAAATAGCAACGTTCATATTGTCATAAGACAAGCGAAAATTTGTGTATGCAATAATTTCGCAAAAATCATTCTAAGCATTACGAAAAATATATATTTCATTGTGTTTGTTTAGTATTAAATTACTGTAAACGTATTTAAAATATATTTAGTAGGATTAGGCTAAAATAAATTGTTCTTGTTATAATAAGGTTAGATAAGTTTTCTAAGATTCTTTTGGTTCAAAATTAAAAATTTTTACATTAACATTAATGAAAAAATATATCTTTAAACGTATAAGAGAAATTTTTAGAAAAGACTTAATTTTAAATGAGTTCTTGCTAATTGACCAGTTTTACATATTCGGCACGACATATATATAATATATATATATATATATATATATATATATATATATATATTATATATATATATATATATATATATAACAATTCGCAAACAGGTGAAATTATTTACAAACATTATCTTTACGTCCACAACAGGACTCGAACCTGCAAACTCTGTATCAGAGTAACCAGTACTTTACCACGGAGCTAAACCCCAGTGCGCCCATACTTATTTAGAATAAAACTGAGGTTTAGCTCCTTGGTAAAGTACTGGTTACTTTGATACAGAGTTTGCAGGTTCGAGTCCTGTTGTGGATGTAAAGATAATGTTTCTAAATAATTTCGCCTCTTTGCGAATTTTTAAGCATTATATATATAAATATATATTTTTATATATGTTTATATATTAAACTGAGACATGTCATTAATTTTCAAGTTTTCAGACTTCGTCGATTTTTTTAGAGAAAAAATAAAAAAAAAATCTCGTAAAAATAAAATTGGAGATTAGTCATTCTAACAATTTAATGTGTTAGAATTTTATCTGGATTTATTATGTTATTTTGCTTTGCTTATTAATTATACTATTTTATTTACTAGCATTTTTACTATAATTTTTAAAATTTTAATATTTGTATGATTATTATAATAAATAATAATACATTGTAATTATTGTGGTAAGCAAAATTCCGGACTTGTTCGATCTTTGAAATTAGTACAGAAAATTTTCATGACTTTTCAAATTTTTTATTTTAGAAGT